TGTTATAGTTTTCATGCTATAACTTTTAAATTAGTAAGCGAATGTTAATGATATTTGGCAGTTTCTCAGTAAACATTACAATGCTCTCATATTCAAAGTATCAAATTTTTTTTTTAAGTCTTAAGGTTTGTAAAGCAATGTTTTTCTCATGCCTTTTTTTTCTTTTCACATCTTGCCTATCTATCATGCAAAGTAATTTTCATCTTAACATTGACATCTGAGTGTAACGAAGAGTGCAACACAATTAACCTTTTTAAAGTCCATGAAATAATTGAAATTTATAGATTAACTTCAACTTTTCACGTCACTGGAGACAGGTACTTATGCTTTTGTAGGGTAAAATGAACAGTTGATAACTCTGATATCAGTTGTATATCATGTTGAATTTTACTCTGTAAAAGGTCATAGCATGCACACTTTTGACCCCCATATGTACATATATGGTTAATATTAGTTTACTTCAGAAACATTACTGAACAAGCAAAATTAAAATACATTATAGTTTCATAACATTGGTCATATGCATATGATGTAATAACATCAAGAAACACAAGTAATTCTCTTTTATTTCCACCACATGTTAGCTGTTTATCAGGTCTCTGCACTTACAAGCCAGTTAGCTTGTATAGTTTTATTTTATTTTTTTTTGATTGGTTAAGAAAGCATCATGCCATTCACCTTTTATTACATAATAAAGTTTAATACTTGATGTATAGTTGACAATGTTTAGTTAGGAATGTTTGTTGACAAATTTGCAAGTATTCTTAAAATATTATATTAATGGGGTAGATAATTGAAACATCAGTAAAGTGGAGATACACACACTATTCAATTTCTTCTAAGAACCCTTTTCATGATAACTGAATAAGTGATGCAATTGAAACAATGTACAAAATAATGCATAATATGAAAAAAATACTTATGATTATTATAAAAACTTGCACTGTATTTTTTTTATTTAACTCACATACATAGATACATATATACATGCCACATCCATTATAGTAAGATGTGGTAATATAAAACCTGTTTCTTTACAAATAGAGTCCTATGGATAAAAATTTATGGATACATACAAGTAGTTGCTGATTTCAGTAATTTTACATCATAACAGAGGGAAAGCATCTTCTATTAGGTCGTCAAGAAATTAATATGACATTTTGGAACACTTTCATTAACCACCCCCCCAAAAAACATACATCATGTATAATAGTTAAACGAACCGCCTAAACGTCACATTAGTGTAGCCGATATAATGTGTAACGTTTAGTATCCTCTAATCCTTTATTCGACATGTAATGCTGTTTGAATACAAGAAGGGAAACAATGCCTCTGTATTCACAAAGAATATCAAAGAAATTTATGGAAATGTTTTGAACGTTCGTAAGTGTCAACGATGGTGCAGCAAATTTTGTTCAGGTGACTTTAGCTTTAATATCTGCGATGGCAGGGGCCAACATGTTAGAATTGATATTGATGCTCTGAAGATGCTTGTTGAGTCAAATCCAAGGCAACACATTCGTGAAATGGCCCTGAAATTGCATGTCTCTCATGAAACAGTATGTAAACATCTAAGGAATATGGGGAAAACTCCATAAAGAAGATGTTTGGGTACCTCACGAAATCTCTGATGATCATTGTTTCCAATGTGTGAACGTTGCTTCATCTCTTCTGACACATAATACTGTGAACCA